CTTCAAGTTAAGTACTTTAATGGTAGTGGAAATATCACAGAGAAAAAAAAAGGAATCGGTTAATATTTTGGATGTGCTTGCTTAGCTATTTTTGCTCTAGATTGACAGCTATTAGGCATTTGCTTTTTGGATGACCAGTTCTTTTCCCGCTTACTCTCCATGCTAGTAGCTCATTAGTTCTGCTTGAACATTGCCACTTCCAAATGAAGGACACAGGCTGATGAGCCCAGGGAGTTGAAGTGCTAAGAGATTAGCCAATCACACAAGAACATCAAGGAGATCTGAAGTCTCTTGAAAATCCTGGAAGGTTTCTGCCATCTCCAAACCAAAGAATAAAAATGTCTTTTGGTTTTTGTGACCTTTGTGACTCCCTGCTGAAGAGCCCACAAAAGGAGTAGTGAGCAGCAAGGGTGGATCTTCCAGGCATGCCTAGAAAGGCCGCATGAAAACAGCCAATCAGAGCCCAGAAGGTTCAAATAAAGGACACTCTAGGGCCTGAGCAACTCCATTCCTGGGGTGGATCAGAGGGGCAAAGTAGGTATTTCCACAACCAAAGGAGCTTACAGGATAGCTAGGGTCTGTTGCTGGCTGCATTTTGCTTAGCTAGGTTTGCAAGCAGAGAGAGGCCCTAAGACCTGAATGCTGAGATATGAGTGAAGCTAAAAGTGTCCAGGTAGGAAGAAGCCCAGGAAAGATGCAGCAGCTAACTGAAATCAGCATGTGATGGCAATTCACAGGGTTGGAAACTGGTATAGTGGGCAGATCCAGTTCCGCTCCCGGTTAAAAGCAAAGGGGGCAGGACTGAGTTAGAAGCCCAAATAAACGACTGAAGCCACCATTAAGGGCAAAGACACTGTTTATCTGCCTGATGACGTATACCCCAGAAGGTGTTCATCTGGACTTACTGACTTGGTTAGAGAGCCAAACCACAGAAGACCTGCCAAGCAAGGCTATCAATAATGCATACAGCAGCAGGAGGCTCTCCCCTGCTCAAGTTTTGTAGATGACTCACAAGGTGCTTTTGGATCCAAGGATTCATACTGGAGCAATCCCAAAATGCAAAGGGAATCAAATCTGAGGTTCAGGAAGCTTTCTCCCATATTGACTATTGACTTGTCTGTATGTAACTTTCACAGAGGTAGTTTAGGGGCCAATCTTTGAAAAGTGGCCCACAGAATCTAAGGGTATGTCTACACTACCACCCTAGTTCGAACCATGGAAACTATGCATACAAAATAATCTTGTCTGCCCTTAGTTTTTAAAACATACTAAGAATTTTTAACATGTATGGTTAGGAAAGTTTGAATATGCTATACAAGTTGAACCTCATCCATGGTCCAGCATGATTTTAGTTAGCCAGATGTACACTTATCATGGATGTGGCCAAGTTTTCCGCAGTCCCATAAAGTTTGTTTACAGCCACCAGTCCTGGCTGTGTTCTGTGCTGTTATTTAGCTCTAATTTACCCCTAAATGTCTTCTAAGAGCACAGTAAGCAGTAAGAACTAAATTCTCTGGTGCAGCACTGGTCAGATCCCGAGAATGCCGGACTAGAGAGGATGAACCTATACCTCAGAAATATGATGACAGTACTATTTAAATCCCCAATGCCAGTCTGTCTTTAGCCCCTGGAGTTCTTTCTTGCACATGCTACATCTGTTCTGAAGGAAATGACTTACTTGTTGCAAAGTTCCATTTCTGTTATGATTATTTCTTGGACATGCCAGTACGCATCAGCTTTTGTGGTTGACTTCTTTCCTTCTTTTGGACAGTGACCAACACAGATGGCTGCAATATCACCAACATGCTTTGAAGAAAACAGAAATTTATCTGTTGCTCCCCTGCAGGAAACATAGAAGAGTTTCAATTAACATCTCGGAGACTGGCATTGACTTGTGCCATGCTGCCATTAAGTAATTTAGGCATGGCTTTGAAAGATATAAAACAAACCTTCATTTAAAATCATTTGATTTAACCCATAATTATTTGACACAAAGTATAATTTCTGTATTTAAATTCAGGATTTTTCTTGATTAGGGTGACACTTTAAATTACTACGACTGGACCTTCCAGGGCATGTTTTAGCTACGTCACATCCAAAATCAATTTGCCTTGTTATAGAGAAAGCTCAAGAATGGCTCATTTCCCCCTAAAACTTTCATTTTTTTCTTGACAGATATTGTATCTACCAATCATAGCTGCCTTTAAAATCACTAGTGAAACTACTCTGCCTGCGTCTAGACTGTTCTCAAGATGAACTTTTCAGAACAATGTAGCACTATCAAACATTGGTCCAACTCTTCTATAGTGTATCTTTAATTGCACCTTAGTGGACTAAACTACTAGCTCTTCCAGTTGTCTGCCTCCAACAGTAGACAATGCTTAGTATATCAGAGAAGGTATCTCCTCCTAGCCCTATTATAACCCTGGTCAACTGTGCAAACAGAGGGGTTTCCTTCTTGACCACGACATACAATATGCTTAATCCCTGAAATATGAGAGCTAAATTGCTAACTGTGCCAAACCACTTCATGACAGGAACACAGCATAGTATAACAGATGGAGGTTTTCTCTTATCTTGGCTGTTTGCTGTTGAACCACTGATGTTTAAAATAGATACCTGCACACTGATGTCATTAATATTAGAGTCTGTTTTGCAAGGAACTCTCTTGCGTTTAAGTTTCAGGTGTGATCATGTGAAAGACATGTGCACACATGCATGCATGTGTCCAATCAGCAGATGGACATTTCTGCTCATTCTTAAACTTGGCTTCCAGAAGCAAACATTGCATCTTTCTTCCAATTTTCTGCCTGTTGTACTTTTTGAAAGAGAAAGTGAGAAATGGCCTGATGCTCTTAATGCCAGACCATGGATTCCCCAGAAGGAGGGACGAGGGGTCTTTGTAAGAGAGACACAGCATGTGACATTTCCTTCCTGCTCACTCCTCAAGGCCTATGCTACTTACCTTGTGAATTTCCTTTTTTTGGAGGAGTTTTCCAGAAGGAATTCTTTGGAGCGGCCCTTCTTTCCTTCTAAGATGATCCAGATGTTTTCCTTGGTTTCTGCATCCTCTGTGTTACTCGTCCTTGTGGCAATCTCATAGGCTTCCAAGGCAAAAACAAAGCACAGGTTAAGCAGCCAGAGCAGAGGAGATGTCATTAATGACTGTGGCCAAAGAGAGACTTGTCTACTGGACAGTCACTTTGGCCTTCAGATAATTTCTTCATGTGTCTTATGCTAAACTACAAAGCACTGGCAAACTACACACCAGCAATGAAAGCCTTGCAGATATTGAAATCTATGGGAGCTTTGCCATTGATGCCTGTGGGGGACCAACATTTCATCTCAAGGAAGGAATAAACAGAAAGCCTATTAGACTTATATGACCAGTGAGTGGGAGAGCATGGAGCTGCTCTTGAGAGGCTCTGTTCTTTTAGAGAACTCAAAGGGCAGCTGTGAGCCATTGTTCCTCTGTGGGGGTTGATCTGGTACCCTCTCTTGCTCCATGTGGCTATGAGGATGCTAGGGAGGTCAGAGAGGAGACGGGGCTGCAGTGCATTCAGAACACTGGCGACATCTGTAGCTCCATCTTGTCCCACCTGGCGAGATAACCTTGTGCCTAGGTGAATGTGCCGTTTGGGTGAGCGCTAACTGGAGGCAATGCCCTCCAGGCTGAGATCATCTTGGTGGGTTGTGGAAGCAGTGGGGGAGCTTGTGGAATTCACAGGGACTGAGGGAGTGTGTATGAGAAAGGGTAGGGGCTTGGTATTAGGCCATGGGCAACTCCTAAATACCCAGGCAGTGGCTGTAGCCAAGAGTTCTCTCTTCCATCTCTGCCTGGCAGAATGACACATTTTGTCACAATTACCCATTCCTTGGCCACCGCCCAACTACATCAGCCTCAGTGGGCTTCTCCCTCATAAATCTTCTCTCATGAAAAGGCGGTGCTGTGTTTCTACAGGCACTGAGGTAAGACTGAGATGTACCAAGTGCCAGTCACTTATGACCCTCAGCGGGAAGCCTCTGACTTACAGGTGCGCTCCTTTAGTTCCAGGATGTCATTATTGGCACAAGCCAAGTCTCTTATGAGCTGTCCGTCATCTTCGCCTTTTGCCAGCCAGCGATCACACTGGAAGCGGAACGTCTTATCCAGGGTGTCATCTTTCACTTCAATGTATTCCAAGTGCCAGCCGGGTCCGACTCCTTTTAGGTGAAAAAGAAAAAAATACATAATGCTTGGGTAGGGGACATATTCATCTCCAGAAGGAACCTGTGGGCTCTGAAAAGGTATATCCACAGCAAAAAGGTCCATCAGTGGATCTGGTGCTTTGCAGAAGCAGGGAAGACCAGGTTATGAAGCTTATCCCATAAGGACCATGTTCTGATCCTCTTACTCTGGTTGAGCAGCACTTTACCCAGACCTAGTTCTAAGCTCCTGCGAGCTGCCCTGCAGTGATCATTTAAGTAGCTTTTCTCAAACTGGGGACCCGAAAGAAGGGGTATTGTTTGCATGTGTGTGAGTGGGGGGGAGGGGCAGAGAGACATGAGAAAAATATAGGGTTTCATGTGTAACACTGACAGGCACAATCGAACCTGGGCCCCCAGGAACTTAGTGTATGAGCCTCAACTGCAGTGGTCTCCAACTTTTTTAACCACAAGATCACTTTTTCAATTTAAGTGCAATGTCAGATCTACCTCAAACCCAAATACCCTTGCCCCCTTCCTTCCCACCCCTTCTTTGAGGCCCTGCCCCTGCTCCATGCCCTCTCCGAGGCCTCACCATGCTCACTCCATCCTCCTTTCTCCCCCTCCTCGCTCACTTTCATTGGGTTTCGGATAAGGGGTTGGGGTGCAGGCTCTGGAACAGCAATAACCACAAGGATAATTACTCCAGACACAACAGGTTAGGCATTGTAGAACTCACTACTCAAAGAATTAAATGTAAGACAAGAGAGAAATGAATATTATGAAATGCACAGACCAGTCACAAACCAAAAATAACCCAGGGTATGTCTACACTACCCCCCTTGTTCGAAGTAGGGGGGTAATGTAGACATACCCCCACTTTGCAAGCAGTAAAAGAAGTAACTTCAACTCCCCCCTCCCATGTATGTATTGGGTCAGGAGGTGTGAGTGAAGGGCAGTGTGTGTTTCTGAGAATGACAGAGATTTGCATTGCCAAGCTGCCTCCATCCCCTTCTCCCTGTGTGGAGATGGGGTACAGGAGTTTGGGGAGGAGGTACTCCCTGATATCAGCGACCCCCTTGTAGGAGCAGCAGGACAGTGGATGGAGGGGCAACTGAAGTGCCAGTGCTTGATAGCTCCGTGGCCAAACCAGTCAGGATCACATGTCAGGGGCTCCAAAAGCTACCAGTAGAGCCGGATCTACTGGTTGGTGACCCCTGCTCTACTGCATGAGCTAAAAGCCAGCTGGCTGGTAGCTCAGGCTGTAGAGCAGACTCATTATCCTCTCTGTAAGTGGTCTTGGTGCCAATAGGTGGGACAGTGCACCACATTCACAAGGAGTGGGTGGCATACTTCCCCTAGCTAAGGAAGCATGATCCGAGCTTCAGAGACACCCCAGTCGAAATCCTGGACTAGCCCCCCACTTGTAACAGGTGGCACCGAACCTGGGACCTCTGGAGCTTAGTGCAGGGTTTTCAAACTTTTTTTCTCATGATCCAGTTGAAGACAATTGTTGATGCTCGTGACCCAACATAATGTGACTGGAGTGTGGGCTCTGGGGCGGGACTGAGGGTGAGAGCTTTGGGCTGTAGGAGGGGGCCCCAGCTTTGGGAGGGTCAGGGCTGGGCCAGGAGGAGCTCCCGGTCAGCAATGCACTCCCTTCCCAGCCTCTCTTGGCACTGCAGAGCATGTTGCCCCCAGAAGCAGCCAGCAGCAGCAAAAAATGAGGCGTACAGGATCTTTCGAAAAAGGGTTTTTTTTTTTCCAAAAGAATCGCATCTGGACAGCAGTTTTACATTCAAAAAGCCCTTTTTCGGAAGACCGTGGGCCACCATTATGCTAATGAAGCATGGAAAATTGAAATCCCGGCTTCATTTGCAATTTCGATCAGTCTAATTTACAGCCCTCTTTCGAAAGAGGGATATAGTTTAGACATAGGCAAACAGACCTGTTCCTGTATTCTTTGAATACCTAAAACTGATGTCAAGAGGACCCTGGGATACCCAATTTCTGGGATCGGGGCCAGTACACTGTATGAAAGCCCAGAACGACTCTGTTGACATGTTAGGGATGAACGCAGGCCAATATGGGTATCTCTGCTGCAGTTTTGTAAGATGTTAAGTACTAAGGGTATGTCTACACTACCACCCTAGTTCGAACTAGGGTGGTTAATGTAGTCAATCGAAGCTGCAAATGAAGCCCGGGATTTAAATATCCCGGGCTTCATTTGCAACTTTGATTGACTACATTAACCACCCTAGTTCGAACTAGGGTGGTTAATGTAGTCAATCGAAGCTGCAAATGAAGCCCGGGATTTAAATATCCCGGGCTTCATTTGCAACTTTGATTGACTACATTAACCACCCTAGTTCGAACTAGGGTGGTTAATGTAGTCAATCGAAGCTGCAAATGAAGCCCGGGATTTAAATATCCCGGGCTTCATTTGCAACTTTGATTGACTACATTAACCACCCTAGTTCGAACTAGGGTGGTTAATGTAGTCAATCGAAGCTGCAAATGAAGCCCGGGATTTAAATATCCCGGGCTTCATTTGCAACTTTGATTGACTACATTAACCACCCTAGTTCGAACTAGGGTGGTAGTGTAGACATACCCTAAGTGACTGACCACACATTGCTTTTTTTGTGCACAATCTTACTCTTAAAAATAGTCCAGGGCCATGCTGTGCCTTTGTCAAACATGATTTTTTCTGATCTCCATAACAAGCGTTGATTGCCCAGATCAATGTTTTAAACAAAAGGTACTTAATTCCGTGCTTGTTCTGCTACCATTGAAATCCCCAGCAGCAAATCCTAAAAAAGCCCATGGCTATGCCACGTAGGCTTCCTGCATGGTCCCACTGCTGGAAGTGACATTTTCAATAGCATGCTAAACATTTCCAATGTAATTAGAGGAGGAGAACAGCTTTGGGGAAAACAAGACTCACTTTGCTGGCTTGACTCTGGCAGTGGTATAATTTAGTGTCATGTACGGAAATGTTTTCTCTCCTTCAAGCCTCTTTATCCACAAGGAGCAGTTCAGTTTTTCTATCTATTTTCGGGCTGGGGGGGGAGGGGAGGAGGAGAGGGAGAGGAAGGTTGCTGGAGATGGCAAGTGTGAGGAGGGTTGGGGTCTCTGGTATCCATTTCTGTGTAGGTCTGAGCTGGATGTTTCTCCACGCACTTGGAAAGAATCTGCGGCTACAGAAGAAGACATGACTACTTAGTGTATGGGGCAGGGATCATTTTTCCATTATGCCTGGGCAGTGCCTACCCCTGTAGGGTCTGATTTCCAGATGCTACCACAATGCAAATAGCTCCCATGTGAGCCAAAAGACAGCTCCTTCAATCTGAAGCGGTAGGTTCCTTGTGTGGGCTAGTCGCAGGGGCAGCAGATATCATAGGCAGGAGAAGGCTTTGCCTTCTCAAACTGCCAGCCTGGCCCCACCCACACTCCACCCCCAGAACACCTACAGTAGGCACTCCGGGGTTGGGGAGACTGGGGCTGTGTGCTGCCCTCTCTCTCCAGAGTGTTGGGGGGTGGGTTGGGCTGCACGCCACCTCATCGCCCCATGGTGCAGAGGGGCGGGGCCTGAGCAGAAGAGGTGGGGTTGGAGCAGGGATGGTGAGCTTGCCTCCCTCAGCCCTACCCTCACTCACCGACCCATGGCTAGTCGTTATTGGGCAAAACCAGAACCCTCCCTATTTCTGGCCCCCAAATCATTTGGCAATGCACATCCTGAGCAACTGAGGTTCACTGGCATTCAGACTAATGGCTGCCACTGGAGGGGGACAGAGCACCACACCGCACCAGCATGGGTGACAATAGCACTAACAGGCTGAGGTATCTGGGTAGCAACCCCTAATCCTTGTTTAAAACCGATTCCTTTAGGACAGTGACTGGGTTATGTTAACACCTTTGACTCTTTGGGCCCATTTATTCCCAAATTAACAGGGCAGCTCACACTACACTGTTTCATACTGAGGAGAGAAAAAAACTAGATGCCTCTGCTAGCTTTTGTCAAGCAGTGAGTTTAGCTTGTATGCTGCTCTTAGAAACAGGAGTATTTTTATTCTCCACTGCCTATAAAATTTGGGCATCACTGAATTTGACTCAGGTCAAACCTAACAATAAACACTATGCAGCACTGAGACGGAAAATCTTACCTCTGAAAGATGCCTGTGCAAAAACACTTTACTACTCTGGGTGAATATGTAACAGTGTTTTGAGGATGCTAAAGATATTCTTGTGATTGAAGCATATTTCATGTTTTATTGAGGAGCACTTTATGTAAGAGCACTTAGCATGGGTTAAGAGTAATTTGTAGGCAAGAATAACAGATGAAGTTCATAGTAAAGATATGCTTTTAAAGAACAGATAACTTTATAGCTACTGTATGGGATAGTGTGTTACTTTAACCTTATGGGGCAGAGAGAAAGAGAGAGAGTTCTGATATTACAGCAAGGAGCTAAATTAGATAGACATGAGTAACCATGTAGCATTATTATGCGAGCCTTGTCCTACTTGCCTCAATTTATTCCCTTAAATCTTTTTTTGTATCCTATCTAAAATCCAGATTATAAACACTCTGGGAAAGGATCATTGTTTTCTATTTGTTCTCTAAAACCCATAGCACATTTTTGTGATAGACAGATGCAAGGAAGGGGTCTTTTCCCAGCTGTGAATAAAAAGAGAACATGAGAACAGCCATACTGGGTCAGACCAATGGTCCATACAGCCCAGTATCCTGTCTGCCGACCGCGGCCAATACCAGATGCCCCAGAGGGAGGAAACACAAGAGGTAATCCTCACATGATCCCTCCCCTGTCACACACCTCCAGAGAAACAGAGGCTATGGACACTGAAATAGGAGCTCATTTTGTTCACTCACGTCTATGTGATGAATCTCAAGAAACATTTAAGCAAGCTGATTTTAAAAAAAAACCAACAGGAAATAAAACTGGACATTGACAGATGTGCAGAATTTGTGGACTACCATCAGAAGTTTTCAACAAGGATTTCAAAAAGGTGGAGTTTGAAATTTGAACAATTTTTTAATAAGGCTTGGAGAATCCTTCATTTTCTTTTAATAATCTGGTGCTTCTCCTGGACATGTTGCTTTGAGCCTGGCAGCATGTTCTGCTGGCAGTAACAGTCTCCCTGGTGTGCCCCACTGGGGGCTTGTGCCTCATTCCTCCCTCACGTCCTTCCACTTACCCCTCCCTAACCCCCCTTCCTGCTGTACAATAAAAGACACGTGTTCATTACAACAAAGCCTCTTTATTGAACAAAGCTGGGGTGGCGGCGGCGGGGGGGAATGAAACTGAGGTGAGACTGGGAAAGAAGGTGGGAGAGGGGAGGAGGGAGGGTAGGAGAGGGAGGGGGAAACCTGGGAGGAGGGAGCTGGCAGAGGGAAGAAGGGGGAGGAGAGGCTGGGGAAACAGGGTTGGGGGTCTTGCAGGCCCAACTGTCTCCCAGCACTGCGGGTGTGGGGGCCTTAGCATCTCTAGGGGTGTGGGAAGGGTGGAGATGAAGAAGCGGGTGGGGGAGAAGGAGTTTGAGGAGGAGCGGTAGCTGGGGAGGCAGCAGGGGCTGGAGCAGCAGGAGGCAGCAAGCTCTGCCCCAGGGTCGATGATCATCTGGGGGGCACAAACCATCCTGCCCCCCAGGATGCAGTCCACGGCATCAAAATAGGGGCAGGGGCCTGGGTCTGCCCCTGGTTGGGAGCTGCCCCCTGTGACTCTGGCATACGCCTGCCGCAGCTCCTTTATTTTCATACAAACCTGCTCCTGCCCCTCTGCCAATCCCCCATCCTGAAATCTACCATCTCATGATCACTGCTTCCCAGGTTGTCACCCACCTCCACTTCCCTTATTAGTTCCTCCCTGTTTGTGAGCAGAAGGTCAAGCTGCGCACGGCCCCTGGTCGGATCCTTCAGCACCTGTGTCAAGAAGTTATCCCCAACATTCTCCAAAAACTTCCTGGATTGCCTGTGTACTGCCGTATAGGTTTCCCAGCAGATGTCAGGAAAACCCCTTTAAAGGCTCTGGGGTGTGGGGGAGGGAGAGGCGCGTTCTTGCTTGAGGCCAGAGTGGCCACCAAGGCACCCTGGGAAGGCTGCAGGCCCCCTATTTTGAAATAAGGGTCTACACAGCACTTATTTCGAAAGTTATTTCAAATTTGGCGTTATTCCTTGTAGAATGAGGCTTACCAAATTCAAAATAAGCGCTCCACTATTTCGAAATAGCGATTTGGCTGTATAGACGCTAGGAAAGTTATTTTGAAATAACGGCTGTTATTTCGAAATAACTTAGCTGTGTAGACATACCCTTACAGACTAACTTGGCTACCTCTCTGAAGCTTTTGAATATGCATAATCATCAGCCTCCTTCCCCAGGCTGTTGTTATATAGCACGGTGCGGGAGGACTACCCTCAGTTCCTTCTCTGCTATGAAACTCCATGGCAGAGAAGTCTGAAGCAGAGGCAAAGCACAGCAAATACTGGAACACCTGTAGGGACATGAATCTTGAAGAACTACAGTTACTGCACAGAGTGAGTAACCATTTCTTCTTCTGCTTTGAGTACTGTCCATAGGGGTGTCAAGTATCAGAGGGGTAGCCGTGTTAGTCTGAATCAGCAAAAGCGGCGAGGAGTCCTGTGGCACCTTATAGACTAACAGAAGTGTTGGAGCATAAGCTTTCGTGGGCAAAGACCCACTTCATCAGATGCATGTCCATAGGGGTGGTTCCACTCCAGGTGACTACTGAGCACTTCCCTCTAAGATGGTGAAAAAACTAACTCCAAGTTGAATCCAATATGGAAGAAAGCAGAGCTGAGCCGAACACAGTATCAGAAACAGGGTTGTAAATTATTACATAGACATCCAAGAAGTGCCCTTACTTATTTCAATCATCAGCATGTTTTTGAGAAATGCCACAGAAGTGTCATACTGTGAATACGTATGTCTGAAGGTGTTTGACTATTACAAGATTTGTAGTGAGAATTTATGCAATCAGATGTCCGCTTGGAAAGTCTTTGATTACAGATTGCAGATATTTTCTAGCTATCTGCAAGCAAGACAAACAGTTGGAGAGGGGGAGGGGTCTTTCTAAAGAGTTGTCCTATTCAGATAAAAGACCAGGGTTTTCCTGGTGTCAAGGAAGCACAGCAATGTTTCTGATTAGGTAGGGGAGGTTTAGGGGTGGAAGACTGGCATAGGATGGTAAGCATGGAACTCCGAAGAAATGTTAGGTAAAAATCTGAGTGGAGATGCAACCTGATCTTGTTTTAAAAAGATACCATGGGCCTCGATTTACCCAACCTGTTGCACCAATCAGGAATGCTATTTTCATTCATGCAACTAACATGATTTTCTAAAATGGGGAGGATTCTAAAAGGATTATTTTACTTTAATTCCATGTAGGTCACAATCTTCCCCATTGGCTGTGCGTTGCCCATAAGAAGAGAGAAAATAAGAGAATTCCTCATTGGATTCATTTACATGTGCTGCTATCAATGAAAACGAAGTGTGAATGCGAGATCTTCCTTTTGAGATGAGAAACTCAATTATTAGCCATGAAAATGCAGTCACAGTGGCCATGGCCATGTCTTCTTGGATAGTTTCCTAACATGCTACTTGGCATCTGAATACGTTCCCTAATGAATAGAGCCACACAGAGTGCTCTGCTTCCCAAGGGTATGTCTATACAGCAGGGCTAACTAACAGGGGTATGTCTACACAGCAGGGCTAAAGTTGAATCAAGCAACTTCACGTAGTTTAAGTCAAAATAGCTTAACTCGGCTTTTGGCGTTGTCTACACAACAGGAAGTCAAAGGAAGAGCACGCTTCCTTCAACATCCCTTCCTCCTCATGAAATGAGGGTTACCACGAGTTGGAGTAAGAAGTCCTGCAGTTCGACATTATTTCGAAATAAAGGCTTGTAGTACAGATGTGCACTGTGGCATGGCTTGTAGTATAGAACGCTGCTGTGTAGACGTACCCTAACTGATTAAAGATTTCAAACAGTAAAAGGCAAAGCACTGGCAAATAATTTAGTGATTTTAATCAAGACAGATACAGACATGCTTATGGTAAATGTTTGTATCGTCCAAAGCTCAATGCATTACTCTGCGCTACATTACTTAGTTGTTTGTTAGTGTCTGCCTGTTGCAGTTAAATAGCTGGAATGTGGTACTGTCACGTTACTAAAGTTCTCCATTAACCAAGCCATGTTGCTAGGACGACAGAGGCAGGATGTCTGGCACTTTGCAGAATATCAACCCAACTACAGAGATTGTTATTGGTATGACGGTAAAACTCCTAAGTCCTCACCAAGAGACGATACCCAACTACAGAGATTGTTATTGGTATGACGGTAAAACTCCTAAGTCCTCACCGAGAGAGGATCCCCGTTGTGCTAGGCGCTGTACAAACGTATGGTAAGAGAGAGTCCTTTCCCTGAAGAGAGCCCAACTAAACAGACAAGACAAAGACTGGCAAGGGAAACAGTGGTCCAGAGAGGTGAAGGGACCTGCTGCAGTTCACACAGTGGGTTAGCAGCCGAGCAGGGATTAGGACTCTAAATCCATGCCAAATCCACTAGACCAGCTGCCTCTCCTCACTCAACCCATCCCACCCTTCACCAACCCATGCACATCACACTAGTTACCTTTATTGTCGTGCCAGACTCGCACTTTACACAGGTCTCCAAGGCTCAGCATGTCAGGAAAATTGAAAACATCCATCTGGTTCCTTTCAAACTTGTTCGACTTGTTCGACTCCTTCAGAGCCAGAGTCCCGCTGTCCCCGTTCTCCCCAAACATAATCAAGTACACATTGGCGTCGGTACCAGCTCCTGGAAGAAGATGGCAAAACACAACCCAGTAGCTGCTACGGTGTTGCCGAATGATCACCAAACTAATCAAAGTGGTGACAGACTAAAAGGGACTGGGAACCTTGCTCTAATGAGCAAATCTCTTAGGGCAAAGCTGACAATTAGAACACATTCTTGCATGATTCTGTTGGACCAGAAAAGAGAGTCTGCACAACAGGCAGGTAAAAAGCAAATATTTTAACTTCTCCCCACAGATTTAGTGCCTGCACAACAGGCAGGTAAAAAGCAAATACTTTTAACTTCTCCCCCACAAATTTAGTGTGAGTGGCAAGTCATTATATGTAAATTGTCATGATAATAATGATAATACCCCTACCTCTCATATTCCACATTTCATCCACAGCTCTCAAAGCATGCTACGAAAGGAGATCGGTATCATTATCCCTATTTTGTAGATGGGGAAACTGAGGCACAGGAAAGTGAAGTGAACTGACTTGCCCAAAATCACCCATCAGCTGCCTGGCAGGACTGGAAACAGAATCCAGGTCTTCCTAGTCCCCGACCAGTAGTCCCTTCTAACATGCTGGGTGACTGTACCAGAGTAATACAGGAAGAACCTGGCTGTGTCAGCCAATGCAGCCATGCAGTTCTAGTATTTGGTCCTGCCATGAGGGCAGGGGACTGGACTCGATGACCTCTCGAGGTCCCTTCCAGTCCTAGTATTCTATGATTCTATGATTCATGGGACAGCCTGGGCTCTCCCAAATCGCATGCCACGATAACATGGGCCATTGGGAGCCATGCCAAGCACCACCACAGGCCGAAGTACACAGCTGCAAAGGAGGCAGGCAGCACTAGGGCTCAGCACACAGGCTCTTTAAAGAAGGGCAGGGAAGCCGAGAGTAAGAGATTTGTATCATCTTTGCTTAAAGAGTAGCATGCCCAACAACGTGGAAAAATTAGTGGTCAAGGAACTAATATACATTGGGATGCTGCATGTGGGGCTTGTAGGCTGGCTTGGACACCTCCCCCCTCACTGCCATAGGCCTCTCATGGCCTGCCAGAGCCCCTTCCCACTGTGCCATCTCCCTCGCCTGGTCCCAAACATGCTCCCAGGTGGGACACAGCAGCTCCTGCTCCATGGGCGGACACTCTAGCTACGGCCCACCGTGCTGCTGCTCTTCTCAGCATGTGGCTTGCGAGCAGGGAGTGTTCCTCATTTCTGGCCAAATCCTGATGTCCCTCCCAGAATTCCAGCTCCTCCGCTTTCCCCATGCTTCAGCTCAATGCCCACCATCTGCTTTGTTCAAGTGCCCTCAGTCTCTCCCCCGGCAGCACTGCCATTCACCTTCCTCCAATCTGTCTCTATCCTCCTCCTCTGCCTCGTCTACATTGCACGGTGTCTACACACAGCTGTGCTTATTTAACAGATATACTGTGAGTGAGATTTTCAATGGGAGCAGAATTGGGTCAATACTGAGTGCCTTTGAAAATCTCGCCTATTATGTGTCTCTCCTACAGCCCGCTCCAGCACCATCTAAGATAGCCTGTATACCAACCTGTTACCCAGTGTGGAATTTCCCTGGAGCATGAGTAATGTTCCCTCTCTCTTTTTCCATCCATGTGTGGAATAATTTTTATGTGCACCAAGTGCAGCTGATCACCCCCAGTAGAAATATATGCTGTTGGCACTGCATCTCTTTGCTAATCTGGGTGGCATGTGCATCTCTCCTGGGTAGACACCCAAACACTAAGCATGAATGAAATTATGAGCATTTTATCATTTTGCCTGGCACCTTCTATAATTCCTCCAGGAACTGGGAAATGTTTCATTATTGTCTGATTTTTTCTGACATAATAAAGCCCAAGTTCACAGAATCAAAATTTCTTTTCTGAGCTTGGACTTTTATTGGCTATATAAGAGCGAAGGGGCCTTCTAATTCTGGCAACTCAGATCGTGACTATCAACCCGTTTGCTGGCTGCAAAAGAAACTCAGCCTCTGCCACTCTTCTCTAAACCCCTCCATTTTTCAGATTTCAGAGGCCTCAAGCCAATTGTTGTACAAGAATGTTGCAAACTCAGCAGCCGCACAATAATTTTTGTCCAGCTTTGCTCAAGTGCCAAGGGGAAAATATCAAGAACCTGGAAAGCTTGTGACAAAATAAGTTTCACAGCAGAAAATGCATTATACTTCATTCCCCCAAATGTGCATTAACCACATCCATCTTTACAAGAAGACAGACACGGAGTAAAAGTGACTCACTTTCACACACAAGGAAGTCAAAGACAAGTCTCACAATCACATGGCATTTTGCTTATGTTAAATCGGGACTAATTTTCAGCAGTTTCCCTGAGAAAAAGTTAAGGAAGGAAGGAAAGCACCAGGGATTCATGCAGTTCATTGGCAGTACCTTTCATGCCGCTAAAACTTGCTGAGGTGATGAACAAAGCAGAATAAAGTCTACTTTCTTATAAGAAGCAGGTGCCCAATTAATGCAAGGTCTCCAAAAGCACAGAACCAACTGGCTTCTAGCAAAACCTTCATGGCAGGAAGCAGCTTATGAAGGCCTCATGCTGTGACAGTTACCTCACAAGCAATTAGCATGAGATGGGAAAGAAAAGAACAGAAATTGCTGAATCAATGAGCATTTCACCTAGCTGACTTTTTTTCCCCCCCTTGAAACATCCAGGCACTCTTAGGAGCTGCAGCAAATTTGCCATGGAATTGACATACAAAACAAAGAGGTGGAGTCAGTGTCGTGCTCTTCGTGGTAGAAGCCAGAATGGGTCTTTTCCTCTTTCAGATGCTGTTTTACAAAACAAAGAGGTGGAGTCAGTGTCATGCTCTTGGTGGTAGAAGCCAGAATGGATCTTTTCCTCTTTCAGATGCTGTTCCAGTTTAATCAGACTTTGACCTGATCCAAAGTCCACTGACATCGGTGTGAGTCTTGCCTTGAACTGAATTGGGCTTTGGATCAGGAACTAAGAAACAGACTAATCACCCGATATTAGGTGACCTTAAACTGTAGCTGAACTTACAACAATATAAATGGACCTTATACAGTAGGGATATTAATATTTACCTGTCAGCTGTATTATTTAATGGGTTTTGAAGACAGAGAGTGCAATATTTATTATCAAACCATAGAATCATAGAATGCTAGAACTGGAAGGGACCTCAAGAGGTCATCAAGTCTGGTCCCCTGACCTCACTGCAGAACTCAGCACCGTCTAGATCAGTGTTTCTGAAAGTGTTCTGTGGAGTCACTCTCAGAAACACATTAACTGGTCGCTTCGGTTTGTGTATTTACCGGTGCTGCTGCCACGGAGCCTCACGGCTCCCATTGGCTCAGTTTTGTCCTTTGCAGCCAACAAGAGCAATGGGAAGAGGCGTGGGCTGGGCTACTACTTCCCTCAGCTCCCTTTGGCTGCAAAGGACAAAACAGAGCCAATGGGAGCCGCAAAA